GATGTGAGTGATATTGAGTTGGCCACACCCAGCCAATAACATGACCACCAAGCCATGTCTACCCAGACACATGACCACCTAAGCCATGCCCACCACCTAAGCCATGCCCACAGAACCGGTTGTTAAAAAATTTGAATCCCACCCCTGGTCATGCCCCTGTTGGAATCTGATTCTGAGGGAGAGATTGAGCAGCTGATAGGAGGGAGTGGGAGTGTGGCTTCGGTGGCTGGGGAGGAAACTGGGGAAGGGCACAGTCTGGCTGGGCATTCAGAGGAAGACCCAGGCCCACCCCCTCTTCATCCTAGGGCATGTAGGGAGGAATGGAGAAGGGAGCAAGGGGGGTTATGGGGAGAAAAGGGTCCTGATTCCCTTCATTAAGCTGCAGCTGGGAAAACAGGATAAAAAGGGTGTTTGCACACAGCACCTTGCTGGAAGGAAAGCATGCATTATCTGTTTGTCAAGTCTTATTTGGGTTCTGGTGTCCTCCCAACAGTGTGTGTTTTATTATCTTTTGAGTTCTGCAATTCCTTACCCTTCCCTTACCCCTTAATTGCTGCAGTGTGGTTTGTATTGGTTTTTATTTATATTTTACATGTACTTTGGGTTCGGAGTAAATTTCTTCCCTTTAAAAACTGTTCTTGGGAGAGTTTTTTCTCCAGCCGATGATAACTGGACACTGGGGGCCAAGTTGGAGGAATTAAAGGGACTTTACCTATTTTTGTGACTTTGTTGCTTTTGTGCCATGCCCTGGGTCATCACAGTGTGTGAGTTACATTGTGAGGGTGGGACCTGTCCCAAAAATTGGTGGCAAGGGAAGGGTCACAACCAGAGCTTATTTTATTTATTTGCATTGCTAGTCTCCCACCAATTCTGAGGCCTCTTCAAAGCAGGAAATCTGGAGACACCAAAAGTGCTTTTCCCAAAAGGCAACTGGACTTTCTTGATTCCACCCCCCTTTGAAAACATTTTCATTCTCGTCCAAGAAATGTCTTCTGTTTCGAAGCTGAAGAACTGAACAGAAGTGAAGAAGCTTCTTGGATGAGAAGCGAAAGGTTTTCAAAGAAAAGTAGAAACAAGAAAGTCCAGTTGTCTTTTGGGAAAAGCATCTTTGGGACTACTTGGTTTTCTCCAGATTTTCTGCTGGATGATTGAGAATCTCCACAGACATTGAGTTTGGTGTTTTTCTATGGAGTTGGCCAAAATGGCAAAATTGACCTGTCAACTCATAAAATATTTCTATGGTCTTTTTAGAGTTGCCAACGAAAAGAGAGGGGGGGAGCAGAGCAGCAGCTTGGAAACCGAAAGTGCATTCCATAAATAGTTTTTCAAAGATAGTAACTAGGGGACTGAAGTTTCTGCTGCGCAAATATCTAACTGGAGAGCATGATTGAGGACTCTTGGCTATGGAGGTGTCCCATTGGAGAATATGAATTGCGATACACCCAGGGAGTGGTAGGAAAACCAGGGTCAAGGGTCACAATGAATGATGTGTCTCAGAGTCGGCTACACCCAGGCAGTGCCGGACATGTGAACTCCCAATAAACCTTTTGAAGTTTTGGACGAACTGGAGGAACTGCAGAACCCTAACAGCACCACTCTGATTAAAGAAAAGAACATAAGTACTTTTGTTTCCATAGGGAGAATGAATGAAACTCTGACTTTGGGATTTACCAGTTAGACTGATAGATCTTTATAGAAATGGCTTGTTTATACTACTAAGAAAAAGCAAAAAGTTGTGATTTGATGTTAATACCTAATTTTACTGTAGCAGAGGAAGTTAGAAATCATTGCTTCTTTTTCTTTTCTTACTTTCCTAGTGTCACGTATTCAAGAATTACATGCACTTTTTCTTTTGCACACTCCTCCCTACAAATTACCTGCACAAACCTGTCTAAGTTCATCACAAAAAAAGCACTCTCTTTGCAAACTTGCCATTCATCCCCAAATGAGAAAGCAATGGACCCTTGCAAAAATTAAAATAAACCAACTGTCAAAATAGAACGTCTTGAAGACCGGATTTCTCAAATACGTTAAACTTTCGGCTTGCGTGCTAATTGGACCCCGTTTGGCTGAAAAATAACAACAACGAAAACCTCCAGAGGTTTGCGGTTTCCTCTGGTGTCTGTTCTGTTTTACCAAAATCGTGTTCCAAGTAGGAAGCAGAAACATTATTGCTGCAGAAATAGAGCACCGCAAATAAATCTGCGGCTCCGGAATAAGTCACCAAGTTTGAATAAGCCATCTACCCTGTTTCCTGGTAAATATGACCTACCCTGAAAGTAAGTCCTAGCTTGATTTTACACATGCGCCCAATATAAACCCTATCCCCAAAATAAGCCCTGATTAAGATCCCACCCACTCCAGAGTGGACGAGTAAAAATTAAGCTAGAGTGGGGGTTGGGGGGTGGAGCTGCCCTACTACTTACCTTTGGACAGTTGTAGCCAGGCCTTGCACACCCCGACACCTGCCTTGCCGGGCCATTTCTTCTGCAGGCAGCAAGGCTGGCAAGATTTTCAGGAAAGCCTCTGTAGCTGATAACAAAGCTCTGGATCAATCCTGAGCTCTGTTATCGGCTGCAGAGGCCTTGCCAGCCACAGAAGAAAACGTTCCTGAAGGCCTTGCTGAGGCAAAAAAGGGGGCCAGGGGTGACGCACGCAAGTGAGGTTAGTCAGTGGATGACAACACCCCCAAAATAAGACCTGCTTCCATTTTTGGTGGCAAAAATATATATAAGACTTATTTGGGAGGAAACACAGTATTTATATCCATAGACTTATACACCGCTTCACAGTGCTTTCCAGCTCTCTCTAAGCAGTTTACAGAGTCAGCCTAGGGCCCCCAAACAATGTGGGTCCTCATTTTGCCAACCTCGGAAGGATGGAAGGCTGAGTCCGCCTTGAGCCAGTCAGGATCCAACTCCAGGCTGTGTGCAGAGTTAGCCTGCAATACTGCTTATGATACAACTTTGTAATGCAACCTTTTGGATGCTTAGGGATGAAGGACAGAGAAGCTTTATTCATATACACCTTGGGACAAAAGAAATAAATAAGAATGAATAAAATATATAAATATAAACACAAACATACAAACAAACCCAGTCCCAGTTACTCAGACAACTTCCAAGTCTATTTTCATGCTATTTATTCATGGAGCAATTTGGTTCTTATCCACCAGGGGGCAGAGGAAAACCAAGGTTAATAACATCACAGCTGTCAAATTCAAATCTTGGCTTCCACACTTCCTGGTTTATATATATATATATAATATTAGGCACTGGAGCAAAGCAAAATTACCTGAACATAATTTTAAAGCAAGGCAAACCCACTGATATGTACAGGTAGTCCTTGACTTACAGCTCTTTGTTTAGTGACTGTTCGAACTTACAACAGCACTGAAAAAAAAAAGTGACTTTCGGACCATTTTCCACACTTACGACCGCTGCAGCATTCTCACGACCCCTTGCTCAAAATTGAGATGGCTCGTATTTATGAGGTCCCTGGGTCATGCAATCCCCTTTGGCCAGAAGCCAAGTAAACTTGGGGGCAAGCCAGATTCACTTAAGCAACTGTACGACCCACTTAACAATTGCAGCGAGAAAAGGTTGTAAAATGGGGCAAAACCCACTTAACCAAAGTGTCTTGGAAATTTGGAGGGGCTCTGTTGCAGCTATAAGTGGAGGACTACCTGTGTAGAGAAGGATGTGCACTCGGATGCCTCCTTTCGATGTTTTAATGCAATGTGGCCACAGCTGTATATATGTATACATATATATATATATATATATATATATGTTTTATGGACCTCGAAGCCCAAAGTTTGCAAGAGGCGTGTGTGTGTGTGTTGATGAAACCCAAGTTTGGATTAGGAATCCGAGGTTTTTAAGCAGCTCTGCATTCTAACATCTTCCGGAAACTTTTCTGAAAGCTGTCATCCAAGAAGGCGTACAAGAAAGGATTCAAACACGAGTTAGCATAGCTCAGGCTGGTGATGAAATAGGACACGCCGATGACCATGGGAGTCTGGGGCAAGTCCGTGGTTAAAGCCACGATGGTGGCCAGGTGGAAGGGCGTCCAGCAGAGGAGACACACCGCTAAGACGATGAAGACCATAATGGTGACTTTCTTTTTCGCCTTGTCCAGCGCTTTGGCGTTGGAGTTTAAACTCATGCTCCTCAGATTGTACAGCATCGCAGCGTAAAGGGCGCAGATGGTGGAAACCGGGATGGCGAATCCCAACAGGAGCGTGTAGATCCGGCTGGCTTTGAACCAGGTTCTTTCGGGCTTGGGGAAATTGAGGCCGCAACTGGTGATGTTCAAGTCATCCTTGTAGACATTGGCGAAGAGGAAGAATGGAAAGACGATGAGGGTGACCAAAACCCAAACGCAGACGCTGATGAGACGGGCCGCCCGGTAGGTACGGTGCGGCATCCTCTTGGACCGGACAGTGGAGAGCACCACCAAATACCGGTCGATGCTCATGACGGTGAGGAAGTAGATGCTGGAGAAGATGTTGTAGTGGTCCACGGAGAGGATGATCTTGCAAAGGACTTCTCCAAAGGGCCAGTAGTGCAGGAGGTGCTCGGCGATGTTGATAGGCAGGACCAAGGTGAAGAGGTCGTCGGCGATGGCCAAGTTGAGGATGAACATGTTGGTGACCGTCTTCATTTTGGGAGCCTTCAGGATGACGTAGATGACTGCCGTATTCCCGGTCAGGCCCACCGCACAGATCACGGAGTAGATCACTGGGAGGACCACGTAGAAATCTGGGGATTGAAACTCCTGCGACGTGAAGTTGGCCACGGTAGAGTTTTCGCCGCCCCAAGCAACGTCCTCGGGCCCAAGGCTGGCGGCATGGGTGCCCAGCGCTCTATCCTCCGAAGCGTTTGCCATGTCTGGGACCTTCAGCGGGAGGGGGGTTTTGTCCTTCAGATTGGGCGGAGGGGTGGGTGGGTTGGACTAGATGACCTCCAAGGTCCCTTCCAACTCTGTTAATCTGTTAACTGGTAAGATGACGAGGCCGGTGAGAGGAAAG